ACATAGGTATATATGTGTCTTTATATATAGTAAATCCTATTCAATTGCAAAGTTCTTCAACTGAAAATTAAATTGCTCTTCAATACCCTATTTCCCTATTCTTTTCTGCAAGTGCATCAACACTCAAACATAGATAGATTCTATATGTATATATAATGTGGTTTTTTTAAACAGGTTATCGCCGTGGAGCAGCATAGGCATAGACCACTAGCCACTTACAGTATAATAATTTCTGAGTATTTATTGGATTAATGCAACGATGTCACTTAAGGTCCCAGTCAGCGACAGGGCACAACCACCGCCCCCGACCCGTCCGGCCCCTTTTTGAGCCTATCGCCTACCGCCCGCTAGGCGAGTACTAATTGACGAGCCGACCTACAGTATAACCAGCCACATATACACATATACATATATACCCACTGTCATTATATGCGAGGTTCTTTTTTATATTCTTTTAAATGTATTTTTTGTGATTTTCTTAGGCAAACAATTGATTTATTTGCATGTCAGTAGAACCTGTTCTGTAGAGCTCACAGCCGACGATCCCATCGCAGCCCCTTCCCGAATATAAATTTTTGCGATTCACTTAAAATGCAGGGGCGTGTCGTGCTGGGGGGGCCATGGGTGGTGCGTGGAAGGGGCGAGGTAGTGTATACATACATAGTAGCTGAGCAAATTGCCTGAGCTCTGTGGTGGGCGGTAGTAGACTTCTAAATGAAGCTTGATAGAATTCGCTGGAAAAGTCTGGGTAAACAAGATCACAAAAGTAATTCTTAAATATATCGCAACGGGAGAATTTAATTATGTATTTCATTTATTTTTATTACTGCCTACTAATGGTGCACTTGCTGGACGGGGCACCGAGCTGAACCAATTAAATGCTGACGCTATGCACATATAACTAAGTGCGCTTGGCTTCAATTATCCATAATAGTCCTCCAACATTGCATATATGTATAATATGATATGATTTAGCAGATTAGATAACTAATGTCATATATTGGCATATGTTGATTTGTATATCATCGCAGACGTTGTGCTGAAAGGTCAATTGAAAAACACAACGCATCGACGGGACTTTCCAAATGACGTACCGGGAATTTTTCAATTTAAATTTAATCAGAGCTGAGCATTTGGGGGGCAGGTGGGCAGCGCATCCAATTATTGCCGTTTATTGCTGTTGTTATGCATAATATACTCAAAAAGAAAGTATGCACAATGAACTTGCTAATCAGATTTGCTCTAGAAATTTCCTTCTATTTACAGCTGAGCTGAACAAATAAATGGTACATTGTCAAATTTGAATTTCCCGCGCAATGGCAGCACTGCATGCGCTAGCAGCGCCAAATATGATAGCGCCACCTGGCGGATGTTGAGCACGACTCGAGTGGCACACGCAAGCGATTAGTCAGCTGTTATCCGGTCACACTTGGCAAGTGTCAAAACCGATATAGCTGGTCACATTGAACTTTTGCCTCGAAACAAATGACACGTCAAGTGAATTGGATATTGGGAGCCAAACAGTGAAATAAATCGGCAATTAACTACACTATTCAATAACAAATTCCGTATAGAAATCGTGGACAGCGTTGCCGCTTAGTTTGGTGCAAAGATGACCCAAGTACCGTGTTACACGATCATCAACTCGCCGGACCTCGAGGTGCCGAACGAGATGCAGCTGAAGCAAGACCTCGAAAAAGGCGACACGAATGTGAAAATTGAGACGCTGAAGAAGGTGATCAAGCTGATGCTAAATGGCGAACGCTATCCGGGCCTCATCATGACCATCATACGCTTCGTGCTGCCCGTGCAAAATCACATGATCAAGAAGCTGTTGCTCATTTTCTGGGAAATCGTGCCCAAGACCTCCGCCGATGGCAAGTTGCTCCAGGAGATGATACTCGTGTGCGATGCCTATCGCAAGGTAAGCTCAGCATTGCTTTTGCCAGAACTATGAACTGACCATTATCCCTCTAGGACTTGCAACATCCGAATGAGTTCTTGCGTGGCTCCACGTTGCGTTTTCTGTGCAAACTGAAGGAGCCGGAGTTGTTGGAGCCTCTGATGCCGGCCATTCGCGCCTGCCTGGATCATCGCCACTCGTACGTGCGCCGCAACGCCGTACTGGCCATTTTCACCATATACAAGAACTTCGACTGGCTGGTGCCAGATGGCCCGGAGCTGATTGCCAACTTCCTTGACACACAGCAGGACATGTCGTGCAAGCGCAACGCCTTCCTCATGCTGCTGCATGCCGACCAGGAGCGTGCCCTCAACTTTCTGGCCTCGTGCATCGATCAGGTGCAGAGCTTCGGCGACATCCTCCAACTGGTCATTGTGGAGCTCATTTACAAGGTGTGCCACGCCAATCCCGCCGAGCGCTCGCGCTTCATACGCTGCATCTACAATCTACTCAACTCACCGTCGAATGCAGTGCGCTACGAATCTGCCGGCACGCTGATCACACTCTCGCTGGCACCCACCGCCATCAAGGCCGCCGCCGGCTGCTACATCGAACTGATCGTCAAGGAGAGCGACAACAATGTGAAGCTTATTGTGCTGGACCGTCTGATTGCCATGAAGGAGAACGAGAACATGGAGAAGGTCATGCAGGACCTGGTAATGGACGTGCTGCGCGTCCTGGCTGCCCCGGACATCGAGGTGCGCCGCAAGACTCTGGCTCTGGCCATGGACTTGGTCTACTCGCGTAACATCAACGAAATGATCCAAGTGCTGCAGAAGGAGGTGGCCAAGACGCACAACGTGGAGCACGAGGACACGGGCAAATATCGCCAGCTGTTGGTGCGCACCCTCCACACCTGCTCCATCAAGTTCCCGGATGTGGCCAGCAGTGTCATCCCCGTGCTGGTGGAGTTCCTCTCCGACACCAACGAACTGGCCGCCGTCGATGTGCTGATCTTTATACGCGAAGCCATACAGAAGTTCCCGGCTCTGCGCGGACTTATTATCAAGCATCTGATCGAGGCCTTCCCACAAATCAAATCCTCGAAGATCCATCGTGCCGCCGTCTGGATTCTGGGCGAGTATGTGGAAGGTGAACAGATTCCTGAGGTTATTGCAGCCATACAGCAGACTCTCGGCGAAATACCCATGGTCGATGCCGAGCAGCGTCGCCTCGCCGGCGACCAGACCGAGGAGCAGCTGCAGCAGCAGCAACAACAACAGGGCACAGCCGGCAGTGGTGAACAGACAACAAACAGCAGTAACAAGGTCACATCCGATGGCACCTATGCCACGCAGAGCGCCTACAGCCTGGCACCGTAAGTACCCAAAATAGGATCATGTCCAACAGCCATCCTCATCGTTCGCCCTTTTTCCCGCAGCGTAACCAAGAAGGAAAAGCGACCACCACTCCGCCAATATTTGATGGATGGGGATTTCTTCTTTGGCGCCGCCCTCTCAGCCACGTTGACCAAACTGGCGTTGCGCTACGCGGAGCTGGTGACGGATGCGCGCACCGTGAACCGTCTCACCACACAGGTCATGCTCATTATGAGCTCCATCTTGCATCTGGGCAAGTCTGGCTTCCCCACCAAGCCGATTACATACGATGATTCGGATCGCATCATGATCTGCCTGCGTACGCTTAGCGAGCGCACACCGGAGGCTGTTGGCGTCTTTTTGCACGACTGCCGCGACGCACTCAGCAAGATGCTGGATGCCCAAACGGAGGAGGACCAGCGCATGCTGAAGGAGAAGCAGCGCGCCACGGCCAAGGTGCAGCCCGATTCGCCGGTGCTGTTTGCCCAGCTCTCAAACGGACGCGACAATCAGTTGGGCGAGAACGTATTCGAATCCAGCCTCAATCAGGCGTTAGCCGGCACCAAGACAGCCCAAATCAGCGACATGTCCTCGCCCAACAACAAGCTTAACAAGGTCACCCAGCTAACTGGCTTCTCCGATCCGGTCTATGCCGAGGCCTACGTCAATGTCAACCAGTACGACATCGTCTTGGACGTGTTGATTGTGAACCAGACAAGTGAGTCGATCTCTTAACTGAAACCTTTCAAAGGTCAGATTTCTATAATCTGTCCATATTCCAGATGATACGCTGCAGAACTGCACATTGGAGTTGGCGACATTGGGCGATCTGAAGCTGGTGGAGCGTCCGCATCCGGTGGTGCTGGCGCCTCACGATTTCTGCAACATCAAGGCCAACGTGAAGGTATCCTCCACAGAGAATGGTATCATCTTTGGCAACATAGGTAAGTGACGTGGGAATGATTCATTTATGTCCTTTACTGATTCTGATTCCACATCGTGCAGTATACGACACGGCGCTGAACACCAACGTCGTGGTACTCAATACCATACACATTGACATCATGGATTACATCATTCCGGCCAGCTGCACGGACACCGAGTTCCGTCAGATGTGGCAGGACTTTGAGTGGGAGAACAAGGTAACCGTCAACACCAGCTTCACCGATCTGCACGAGTACCTCAAGCACCTGTTGAAGAGCACCAACATGAAGTGCCTGACGCCCGAGAAGGCCCTCTCCGGCCAATGCGGCTTCATGGCCGCAAACATGTATGCCAAGTACGTATCGCATTGCCTTTCAGTCTGTTGCTGTCCAGTCTAACGATTCGCATTCTAACAGGTCCATCTTTGGAGAGAACGCTCTTGCCAATCTGAGCATTGAGAAGCCTGTCGATGATCCCGACTCGAAAGTAACTGGCCACATACGTATTCGCGCCAAGAGCCAGGCAAGTGTAGCTCCTCCAGCATATTTGTCACACCTTAATGATTCATTTTTCTTTCAGGGCATGGCACTTAGCCTGGGCGATAAGATTAGCTCCTCACAGAAGCAATCGGTGCAGGCCGCCTAGTTAATCAGCAGCAGTATAAGCAACAGCAGGAGCCAGCACAAGAAATTCAAGCTTATTTAAGAGGTGGCCGAGCCACGGCCTGCATTCCGCCTGATTTTGAATAAAAGCAGACCACAACAGCCTATTACATACATATTATGATTATGCATGCAATTATATACTTATTTAATAAAGTTAACCGCCCCAAATTGAACTTTATTTTACTTGCATTGTGCGACAGAGACAGGAGATACATGAACACGCAATTCGTTGTTAAATAGAGCGAGATAGCAAATAATGAAATGCCTTCATACACAGCTAAACATAACGGTGTATTTATATAATATAGTAGATTTTGGCTTTTATCTTTGATAACTTGTAATTACTGAAGTGCTCTTCATCAACTAATAGATAAAATGCTGTGGGAAATTTCAATTTCAAAATTTTTCACATGTGTCACGTCAGCATTTTAAATCAGATTTTGTGTGATTAACTTAACGGCAAAAACAAAAAAAGTACTCGCCACGAAGTTTCGTCCACTAAATTGAGTATAAATTTAAGCTGCTTTATTCATTTATGTAAATTGCATAATATGTATTTATTTTCCTTAAATTTGAAATTTCGATTGCCAGATCAAAACCGCGCCTGGCCAACTATCGATACTATCGCACACATAGATACACGCTTTAACGATTGTTGTTGATGCATCGTGCTTTGACAGGTCCAGCGCTAGCCGCTGACGTGTTTCAAGCAATACAAAAACACGAATCCATTTACCCTCACACAACATAGTTCCGTAAATTTATCGGGCGATGTACGAAATCGTGATTTCGCCAACAAAATAACATCACAGTCATTTGGGTAAGGATACAAAATTTGGGCACAGTGTGCAGGGCTACTTATTTCAACAATCATACAGTTTTCAGTATTTCAGACTCTAAATGAAAGTTGCTAATTCAAAGCAACAACAAAAACAACAACTGATTCCAACGGACACAGCGGCCAAAAGTGGGGAGTAGCGGCCGCGGCAACAATAAACGAAGTGGAAAGCCAGCCGCATTAAACTGTAGCCGTGGCCACAGTCGCGCATTAAGCAACATAGACAGACACACACACACACAAACATTTCCAATTGATATTACCCCAGTCCCAGAGAGCAGAGAGCAAAGGACACAGGCTAAACTATGGCGCTGCTGACGATGATTGCCCGGGTCATTGATGGTCTGCCACTGGTGGGCACCATGCAGGACGACGAGCAGGTGCGTCACACACACACACATATGTATATACACATTCACAGTTTTATAACACTTTCACTTTTTGTGCATTAGAGCGGTCGTAGCATCTTGGATTATCAAAATCAAGCGAAAATGCTATTTCGCAAGCTGGGCACACACTCGCCAGCGCGCAGCAGCATCGAAACAGGACCATATTTATTTCAGTAAGTTGCGAATGTTGAAATATTTGCCAACATTGAATCATCGTTTGATTTAATCGCCTTGACTTGACCTCGCACTCGCACAGCTATCTTATCGAGAACGATGTTTGCTACTTGGTGATGGTTGATAAAATGTATTCGAAGCGTTTGGCATTCAACTATCTGGAGGATCTGGCACAGGAGTTTCATACGAACTACGGCCGGCGTGTCAATTCGGTGACACGCCCCTACGCCTTCATCGAGTTCGACGTGTACATACAGAAGGCGAAAAAACAACTGACAGACCGCAGACGCAACATAAGCAACATTAACACACAGCTGCAGGATGTGCAGCGCATAATGGTCCAGAACATTGACGATGTACTGCAACGTGGCACTGTCTTGGCGGGTGCGTATAAAGAACAATGCGATTAGTCGACTAAATAATTCTAATGCCTTGCGCTTATCGCTTGCAGAGCTGGACACTAAAACACAGAACTTGTCGATGATGTCACAGAAGTATAAGAAGGATGCCAAATTATTAAATCGCAAATCAATGTACGTCCAGGCGGCCGCCGTGGGCACTCTATTTCTAGTGTTTATACTTTACTTTTGGGTTTTGTAATATATGTACGTACGTTAGTCGCACTAGATGTTAGTTGTCAATATGTAATGAATGTATGGCTCGTTCGGGCGGCACGCTTTCATCTTTGTTGTGTGCCGCTGGCATCGTTGCTTTCAACACGTCATAGACGACGAGCAGCGGAGCGGTCGTGGCGCCAACTGTGTGCTGCTAGTTTCAAAGGCCAAAAGACATTTCAATATTTAATATAGTACTTGTACAACAACAACAAGAGCAGCAGCTGCAGCAGCAACAACAACCTAGATAATAATAACCACTGAATGGGGGGCACATCATTTTGACACGCTGCCCCGCTGCTTGCTTCAATTTATACCTTGCGTTGTGGGTTTAAACTACCTTTTATTTCCAAGCATACACATACGAACACTGAACCACACACACACACACACACTCCCAAAGAGAGGCGAGCCACAACTCCATAAAACGGCGATAATATACTGACTACGGTTTATGACACTTGTTCATATATTTAATTGGCTTGCTTAACACCATTATCTGGCATGCAGCAGCGAGAAAGAGAAAGGAAGAGGGAGTGAGAGTAATGGACAAAATTAGTTTTATATACTGTATTTATCTGTTTATGGAGCCGGCCCACAGGCACAGAAAACTTTTGTAAATTATCGTAAGCCCAAACAAATGTGTGTATAAATAGCTTGTATATGATGCTAATCATCACTATGACTAATGATGGATATCAATAAAATACTATATTAGGCAATTTCAAACAAATTATTGAACAATTAAATCAATTTGAGTTCATAAATATTATTTACGCATATATTACCCATACCAATTCGCATTCCTGAGATTAAAACTGCAGGTTAGATATTAATGATTAATTTTTCCTTTATATATATATATTTATTTCCTTTGTTTTGGAGTGTTGATATATTCGCCTATTCCTTGCCATATATGCGCTGACAAATGTTTATGCATGTATATTTATATATACTAGTTGAATGTCGCCTTCTGTTTTTTTGCTTTTTGTTTTATTTTTGCGATTTTGCATATAAATTTTTAATATCAAATTTTTACAATTAGGAAAAAAATGCGCTGTTGCCATTTACACAGTTATATAATGCTTGTATAATTTTCATTCGTTAAATATATGTATATATATAAATGTGTGTGTGTGTGTGTGTACGTGTATATACTATATATGATATATTATAAGTTCTTTCGAAACAGAACAGAACAAAACAGAAAACATGAAACAATATTCGAAAGTGCTTTGACAAATACTTAGTAAAAACGGCCAATCGACAGGGAGCAGCAGCTGGAGTGCTATTTGGTGTTAATTTATTGTTTTACAGCAATTTTGTATTTTCTTTGATTGCGTAAGTGTATAACTTACTAGGAAAATTGGTTTTTACTACAATATATAAATCTCAATATTTTGTATACAATAAATGTTTGTTGTCGTTTTCATTATTCAATTTTGTGTCTTGTTTCTTTGGACGTTTCCTTTGTATAAATTACAAAAGAACGTTTCTATGTTGTATATCAATTGGAATTTCTATTTTCGCTTAAGTTTCTTATGTTGTTTGTCACTAGAAGCTCTGGCTGTGTTCGGTTGGCTATTCTTGTTGTTTTGTTTTTTACTTTTTTACTTATATAAATATTTGTATTTAATTTCATTTCTTTTGATTTGTTAACATTTGAATAAAAAACCTACTTTGCTGTGAAATGAGCTGATTTCAAAAATACATTATGCAAATTAGGAATCGTACAATGATGATATTTCAAAAATAAAACATGGATATGATATACATATATATAAATATTCAATACAAACACTTCCCCTCGCACCGTAACTATGTAGACAACATTAATATATCAAGTGCTCTTTCTAGAAGCCATAATGATAATGTTTAGTCTCTATGCCATCTATGCCTATGCTCTACGTTATCTAATTCCTCACTTTCGTTTATCTTAAAAAAAAAGTTGTGAAAAAAAATATTTTAATAAAAAAAAAAAAAAATTGTATCCTATGTCTGGACATGAAAAACACTATACAAAATATGGTTATACAATTGTTAATTCTTCCACCCTGTTGCTCTAGGGTAAACCCTGATGCAAATTATTGCAATTTCAGCTTAATTTTGTTGTTGTTGTTGTTGTTGTTTTTGGCTTGTTTCATTATCTTGGTTTTGTTCTCTACATCTTCTTCTTCATCATCTACATTCAAAAGGCAGTTTTTGAGCATGGAGGGACAAAGTGAGATTCATGACGAAGCATTAATTAGCAAGAATATCGGATATATCTATATATATATATATGTGTGTATATATATAAAGCTGTGTGTATATAGTACAATACGAGTATACATAGGTGAGAGAGTAAAATAGTGAAAACGAATAGATCAAGAAGAAGGTGCTGAAACGCGATTTGCACAAACTGCTGTACAAAAGAAAATCACAAAAGAAAATTCGTTGAAGAGACACACAGAATGAATATATGTATGCATATACATATGTGTGTATGTATATGCATGTATAGTATATGCTTGTACCTGACGTGGGGTACGACTTAAGGCTATTCAAAAAAAAAGTTCTGTTTACAATATACGCTTGTATGGGCTTTAGAGTACGAGTACCGTTATTAGCTTAGCTTAGGAAAGAACGTTCTTGTTTAGTGTTGAGAAGCGCGCAAAGTACAGTACAGTATAGCACGGCGTTACCTAGATATATATATATACTATATGTTGTATATATCTACTTATAGATGCATCTCCTCTGTCTGTCTTATTTATGCACTTCTGTACACGCCCCGCCCCTGGGCGTGGCTCACTTGATGCGCTGATGATCCGGCGTGCTCTTCAGTATATCCGGCTGATGCGGATGATGATGGTGATGCTGATGATGGCCGCCACCCGATTGCGAGTTGAGCGTGCCCTGGTGGCTGCCACCACCGGCGCCGGCACCGCCACTACCGCCAGTACCGCCCGCATGGTGCGAGCTGCTGAGCGTGTGCGAGTGCGTGGAGTTAAGCGTGTGGGTGGCGTGCGAGTTGAGCGTGTTGTGAGCCGTGGTGGTGGCATTTGTGGAGAAGCCTGTGATGCTGCCAGCTGCGCCGACTGCCGTGAGGCCCGCGACGCCGCCAACGCCACCAACGCCGACGCCCGGTCGCTGGGAGGTGCGCAGCGAGCGATGCGATCCGTTGCGCGTGAGCGAATTCATCTGCGGTGTGCCCGGCACGGTGTGGCCCAGCGCATTCATGTAGTCTGCAATGAGCAGCGTTATCTCCAAGATCTTCGGCTTGCTCATGGCGAAGAGCAGCTTCTGCTCGCAGCCGCCGGCCAGGGTGCCGTCGTCGTGCGAGACGACCAGCATGAAGTCATCCTGGCAGCCACCGAATGTCATCACCGTGCTGTAGGGATAGCGCGCCACGGGCGCCATCGTCGACAGCTCGAGCACGTTGAGCGCATCCTCGGCGACGGCCAGCCAGGCGACGGGCGTGCCGGCGGCGGTGTGCGGCTCGCACTGGCGTGGCTTCGCCTGGAACAGGCAGGCGCCGAAGTAGGGCCACTTGCGGCAGCAGGTCAAATAGATGCGCACGCAGTCCAGCGTCGAGCGGCCCTTGAGCAGCGTCCACTTGGATATGAGCAGCTCCTGCACATCCTTCAGCTGATCGGCGCCGAGTGCGTCCCGATAGCGATACGGATAGAACTTGTCCAGCGCCTTGAGGCCCACGTCGCGCGACTTCTCGTGCGAGTAGTCGCCCATGTCGATCTGCGACATCAGCGAGGCCAGCTCCAGGGCCAGCTCACGCGAGAGCGGAAACCGGCCCTGCACGATCTGCGCATTGGTCTGGTAGCAGAGCAGCAGCCGCTCCTTGTCCGTCTCGCACTTGATGGTGTGCTTCCAGTAGAGCCGGTTCTTGTAGCTCAGCTGGATGACGCGCGAGTTCTCGAACTTTCCGGAGCCCTTCTCACGCAGCGCCGTCTCCCACTTGCTGATCACATCGCACAGCTTGGCCAGCGGCTCCAGATAGTGCTCCAGATCCTTTTCAATCGGATCATCGCTGAACAGACAGAAGCCGTTGTTGGCATCGCGGGTGCCCAGCTCCTGGGCCAGTGTTGTTTGGAATTCCTCGATGGTGGTGGAGCCGTCAAAGGAAACCACCTGAAGATGATAAATGAACTTGTTCAGTATTTGGTTCCAAGATCTTAAACTCTAGTTCTTACATCACGAGTTGTAACTGCTGCTAACCAGCAAGTTAACTAGTGTTCTTTTGAACAAGTTCACAAGGAGGTCCTTATACTTAATAGTTCTTGTTTCTATAAACTACTGTCGAAACAGAGCGCTATCTTATGATAGACTTATGCACTAGTGAACTGGTTCACATAAATAGTTCCCATCCAAAAATGATCCGAATTGGCGAACTAGTTCATATTGCTTGCTTACCTGATACGTGGCGTTCATCATGTGAACGGGTATGGCGTGCGGCAGGGAGTGATGATATGGATTCTTCAGCAATATGGATAGCACCTCCATGCGCGATGGCTTCGTCTCGCGCCCGCCATTCTTCAGGGTGCGCTCCAGGGCGCGCTCGCAGTAGGCGGCATATTTGCCCGTTTCTGTTTTGGTGTCCGCGTTGCGGGACAAGTGCAGCTTGAGATACCACAGTAGGCGACTGGACTTGGGCACAAACAAGGAGACGGCCAGTGCGAGCAGCTGCCAGCCCTGAACAAAGCTGTAGGCGGGCGGATTTGACTTGCAGTCGATGATGGGCGTCGCGACGGGAGCCTGCTCCAGTGTAGAATAGCGAAACAGAGAGAGAGAAAGAGCAAATGGAGAATCAGTTGAATGAGATGAGCATAAATGAGGCAGATGTCTGGGTTAGGCAACTCTACAATTGACTACAGTAACTGAAAGCAATCGTTTAACAAATCGTTTATCGCATATTTATCGTATATCGATTATTGAGTGACAAGACAAATTTCCCCTCATACCTGTATCGATGTGGGCGAACTGCCGTTGGCCTGAGCCTGGCCAGCCTGTTGGGTATCACAGGTGAACAGGCTTTGGGTGGCGCACAATAGTAGTTGCTGTAAATTTCGTCGTCGTTGTCGTCAATAATTGGTTACGTACAGTGTTGGAAAACGGTTGGTATTTTCGGTATTTGCGGTTATCGGTTAACGGTAATGGATACATTGGTTCGATACACATACAAACGAAACGGAAATCGTTTCAAAACCAAAAAGAAACGAAACATAATAGAAGAATAGAAGAGAAGCCAAAAAACATTTGCTGATCAATTTTTTGTTTGCCATTAAACGAAGTTTTTGTGTCTTTTTTCGTGTATTGTTTTTTTTTCCAGAGTATCCTTAATGTATATATATGACACGCTATACAAAAATCGTTCTCTTTGTTGTTTTTTTTTTTTTTTTTTTTTTTTTTTTTTTTTTTTTTTTTTTTTTTTTTTTTTTTTTTTTTTTTTTTTTTTTTTTTTTTTTTTTTTTTTTTTTTTTTTTTGTAAGAAGCGTAACGGGCAACAGAAATGAATAAACTCTATGCGAAACATTCAAAGCCATTGAAAAAATATAATCAAAGCAGTAAACTGAACAAATTGAACAAAGGGGCGAAACATAAACGAGTTAGAAAACGCTTTAGATCAGAAGTAGTTACAAGAAGGCAGTTACAAGTGTGTAGCGCGCTTATGCGTGGCCAACTTAAGCGTGATTCGATAAGAATCGATAGCACACGATCGATATGCATTAATCGGCAAAG